CATATGATAGATGATGTCATGTAATAAACTATAAAATGGTTTCCCTTCAGCAAATTTTCTTTATTTATTCTGTACTGACACAAGGAGGCCGGGGTACATTAACATAACGCTGAGATGAGTCTCATCAATTCACAGATCTCAGGCTGTGTAGAGGAGGGTTAGAGGGCAAACATGATGGCTGGCTCCGCCCAGCTGTCATTTGCGGGGCTTACGGCCGGTGTTCTATCGATAGTTGGAACTTATCGAGTTCTGGGACCGCACGACTTCCGGTTTCCTTAGAGCTACAAGGTTTGGCCAAGAAAGTTCTTCTGCATGAGCGCCATCCGCGGCATTGCCCTATACACATACACCACAGCAATAAAATGAAGTAGGATGCCACTAATCCAGCACGTTATTTATCTCAGGTGCCACACGCAATATGGCCGCCGCTTGAGTGGGGCACCTGAGATAAATAACGTGCTGGATTAGTGTCATCCTACTTAATTGTATTACTTTATTGCTGTGGTGTATGTGTATAGGGCAATGCCGCGGATGGCGCTGGGGCAGAAGATGTTTTTTGTGCAAACCTCGTAGTTCTAAGGAAATCGGAAGTCATGCAGTCCCAGAACTCGATAAGTTCGGACTTTCGATCGATCACCGGCCCTTTGCTCCACTTTGCGTGTCACTTCTGCTCAGTCGAGCTGAAGCATATGCCTTCGGCTCGGCTGAGCCTCTTGGCCGCCTTCAGCTGCTGTACGGGCTTTTGTGAATAGCCCATACAGCAGCCCTTTGGTTCCACTGAACCGAAGGGCTCCGGAGGCCGAAGAGAGCCGAAGCTACCTCTTGGCTGCCTTCAGCTCCGGAGGCCGAAGAGAGCCGAAGCTACCTCTTGGCCGCCTTCAGCTGCTGTACGGGCTTTTGTGAATAGCCCATACAGCAGCCCTTTGGTTCCACTGAACCGGAGGGCTCCGGAAGCCGAAGAGAACCGAAGCTACTGCTGGATCCTTCAGCTCATTTGTGAATAACCCCCTAAATCTCAATGTTGGGATCTTTTGCTCTCAGTTCATTTATAATTTCTTACTTTATTAATTTTGCCTGGCGTATCCCACTGACCTCTCCAACACCGCCGGAGCCAATCAGCTCTTAGGTTTCATCTTAGAAAGCTAAATCCCATCACACTCCTAACATATATATCCCCTGCTGGTTTTGTGGGGGGTGCTGCAGTGAAGAGCAGATGGTGTCACACATACAGAAAGGAGAAAGAAGTCACCAGCACACAGATATTCACCATACCAATCTCGCCTTTATCTATGTCAGATATTCATGGCATCACAATGAAACGCAATGTTTTGGAACCATATAGAGTACCTTCATCAGGAAAACAACGTGACATAGTTTGTCTGATGAAGGGACCTTGTATGGTTCCGAAACATTGCAAAACATCCTGGCCTCAGTAAAGGACAGATGGATAGGGTGGATATCGGTGTGCCGGTGACTTCCTTCTTGTTTCATCGTAAAATGCTTGACAACACTTGGCAATGACAATTACTTGGCATTCAAGTAATGAGTAACTAAGCTGCCAGCTGTGTACCGGCAGGTAACATGAAGCTCCATCAAGAATAGGATTACACGGGGCTCAGCGCAGATCATTTGTATAAGGAGAACATAGATATGAAGTATGATACGTGTCATTTTCATAAAGGTGGAGGAGACCTCCGCTGTGAATGGTGAACCGTCTCTCAGAAGTCAGACTCATGTCATGTTTCCAGGTCACCCAATAAGAACATTGTTAATAATGAGATATTTTGTGAACTATTCATCCTGTTTAGAACCACATTTGTCAGACATTCACCGTGTGAAAACAACAAACATTTGGTGACACTTGCTAAAGTCTTTTCTTCAGTGAAAAAAAGAAGATCTCCGCACCATTCACCCGATTTATACCGGAGCAAAATGCACATCTCTGCAGAATATTCCTCCCGCTGAGATGGCCAATCACGTCTCTAATTAGCCTCAAAGGTTTTATTAAAATGTTTCATTTGTGGAAGTTTTATATTATTTCATCACACCAGAGAATTTCTACCTGGGACTCTTTTTAGGGCATCCACATTGATCCCAAGACAATGTGCAGACCATCAAGTATATGATTAATCTTTTTGTCTTTTACCTGTCCCCACGCCCTCAGGCTCGCTCTCTTCCTTGGCAGGCTTTCAGGCTTCTCCCGTGGCATGGCACCCTATGACTTCATGGACGTGTGTCTCGTAATGGGACCGCGCTTCTTTAAAGAATTACCCACCACATGGTCAGCACTCTAGCAATGGTTTCATTTGCTTCTGAGCTCCATCCACTTGTTTCCTGCCTGTTTCTTCTTTGGACTGACTTCCATGTACCTACCTTGGTCTCTCTTGTATTCACTTGTATGCCACCTGCCCTGGCTCCTGGCCTGTTTTCTGGTTCGTCTTCGTCATGCTCCAGACTGCTCTGGTGAGGTTTGCAGTCTCATTGTCTGGCCCAGTCCACTGTTCATCCAGTGCGTTCTTGTTCTGTGGTCCACTATTTTGGTCTGATCCACTGTTCCTCTTGGCACTCTCCTCTTCCGTGTCCCGGCCTGTTCCAATGTGCTCCACAGTCTTCAGTCTCTGCATGGTTTCTATCTCCACCAATAGAATGCCCGAGCGCTCATTTGCTTTTGCTAGTGCGGGTGAGTCTCCACACATTAGAGCAGGGTGAAGCTAGGGGTCACGACCTGGGTTCAGTCCAAACATCCATGAGGAGGTCCTTGGCTGAACATTGGTTGGCCCTTAGACTCTGCGCCCTGCACCACCTGCTCACATGTGAGCTCACCTCATTCACCTGCATGACACTTTTTATTTCCAACATACAAAATGTAAAATATAATGTCTATAAACAAGCTTCGGATTTAATTGGTAAAAGGAATAGTCAACTCATTTGCGAGGATGAGGAGTCCCCTTCCTAAAGGCTCTTAGGTATGGTTTGTTGCACTGGAAGAAACACTGACACTGTTAAAGCACCAAGACCTTCCAAAAAAAGGTAGTCATAATCTCCTGAAACATGTTGGCTGTCTTTATTTTACCAATAAACTCAGGAACTGAACTTTTCATGTGTATGATGCTTTACTTGAAGAGCTTCTCAATGCACACAGACACCATAGATTAACCTGAGACAGCCACAGACGGCCTGAGGAACCAGGACTCTGCCTAGTACCTCCAGAAGTTGAGCCGTCCAGGACCTTCACAAGGTCACATCAACCCCTTGTTCCTACGTCTCCCCTCCCACAGCGATCATACTTCAGCACTGTAACTTTGTAGCCAGCCACATGGTGAGAGGCTGCAGCAGGGGCAGGGCCGGATTCCCGGCAAGGCCACTGAGGCTCGGCCTCAGGGGCGGCACTAAGCAGAGGGGCGGCACTAAGCAGAGGGGCGGCACAGGTTTGAAGTCCCCCGACATGGAGTTCCGGGCGCCGGGTGGTAATTTATTTTCTACATTTAGCTCTGCTTTGCACAATCGGGGCTAAATGAAGAACGGGGGAAGCCGCTTGTTTCTTTACAAGTGATCTCAGCGATGTCGCCGAGAACACTTGTAATTAGACTGCTGGTCCGTCCTCCCCTGCACCTACCTCTCTCCATGCTGTGCCCTCCCGGCTCCGTCCTCTCCTCGCTGGCCGCCGATGTCCTCAGGATGGAGAGCGATGAGCAGAGCGGCCGGGTTAAAACTAACCTTGCCGCTCCGTGTAGACAGTGAGAGGGGAGAGCTGTGCTCTTCCTCTCTCACCTGTCACAGGAGTTCCAGCACAGTGCCGGGGATGGTGGCGGATGGCGCACGGGGGGGGGCCAGGCCATGACAATTAAAATCCACTTAATGTGCATTTGTTTTAATTTGTTGTCCCCTACCTGTTAAAATAAAAAAACAGCCTTCAAATTGGAGCTGCCCCCCTCCCCCAGTACTTCTTTTCCATCAATTGATGCCCCAGTCAGATTAAAGCATCAGTCAACCCACTTCCCACAAGACTGTCATGGACCTGCCTGCTGGTGGGATGTCATCACGTAGCCAGGGGTCTACTGGAGTGAACAGCACCCATATCTCATTACTCATTATTAGTCCAGAAGGAAGAACCATCCACTGCCACCACCAAGGAAGAACTGGAAGGAGCATAACCTCACCTGACCAGACTGCAGGAAATGGTATGTATTGGGTTTTTAAAAGAAAAAACCAAGGGGGCTTTAGGGAGGGGAAAAGGTGGGGAACCTGAAACTGGAGTTCTACTTGGACCACAATGAGATTATTTTGTCTTGATTTAGGGTACAACCTGTTTAGAATGATCAGGAGGTAACTTTGATGTTACATTGCATTATCATGTGCAATTGAGTGAATTGAGTGAAGTTGTAGTAAGAAAAATATTTTAAAAAATAATAATTCTAAATAAAAAATTATAAAAAAATTTAAAAAGTAAAAGATGATAAGATAAATAAAAATGTAAAAAGTTAAAAATAAATAAAAAAAATAAAAAGTGATGAAAAAGTAAAAAAAATAAAATAAAAAAATAAACGTAAAAAAATTCAAACCAACCCTGCCACCCCCGCAATCTGGTTGGTATTCTCCTCGGCGGGGGGGATTGCCGAACCCGGCCTTGGGGCGGCTGGGAGGGTAAATTCGGTCAGGGGTCAGACATTTGTGAATTTCCTTCTGAAGAGAAAAGATGAAGGCATAGGGATTCAGTCACTACCTGGAAATGTCACGCCAGCGTATTACTTCGCTTCTCCTAACATCATTTACCAAGAAGAGAAATATGTCTGCTGACAGGTTCAAAAAAATAAATAATTCTACAAACATTTTCCATTGTTCTCCGCACAGCCATACCCAGAGGAACATGTTCGAATATCATTTCTCTGTACCGGGTAAACTTAGAAACAATAATTTGCATTGGTCGGACTCCAGTATAACACCTCCAGGACACTCAGCAAAGATACTTTCTGGTGAGCTGGAGAGCAGCAGAGCTGAAAATGGCGCTGATAGAGGTTGTCGGAATGTCCATTGCAGGCTCGGAAAGCCTTCTGTCCATCTTCCTTAACTTTTTTATCGTGGTCTTCCATATGAGAAGCCTGAGGAATGGGATGAAGCTGAACCCCTCCAGCCTCATCCAGCTGGCCATGGGAGTGACTAACATCAGCATGCGAGGACTAATGTTTGCGAGTGCCGTTGCTTCATTGCTCCCTATTAATCATGTTATGAGGATGTACCACACAATAATGGTCATCATCCCTTTCCACCTATACTTCAGCTATTGGCTCATCGCCTGGCTCTGTGCCAATTACTGCGTCACCATCACCAACATCAGACACCGAATCTTCATCTGGATGAAGAGGAGCCTTGTGTCTTTCTTGCCTCACCTTCTGCTCCTCTCCGCGTTCGTGTCTTTTACCCTGACTCTCCCGTTGATCTGGAATCTTCACATCCGTATCTCTAAGGACAACTCTACCCTCGGCCTCATTTTACCCAGATATAAATTCTCAGTTTCTGACCTGAATCTAATGTTGATCAGTTGTCTCTGTTCCTGCCTACCGTTCCTGATGACCATTGGCTCCCTCATGGTGACCGTGTCCTCTCTGTTTAGACATATCAGGAAGATGAAAAGGAATGACTCGGGATTTGCTCCTCCGAACCCCCAGGCTCATGTCAGTGCCGTGAGGACAATGATATTATTTCTTGTACTTTCCGTCACCATCAATGTCGCTGAGATCGTCAAATTCATGGCGATGTCTTTCTTTGGTGACTCTCTAGAGTTAATCATCTGGATGATGGTATCCACCTTCCCATTGGCGGAAGCCTCCATTATTATCCAGTCCAGCCGCAAGATGAAGAAGATGTTTTCACAAACGTTCTGTGCCGGAAGATTTACGGGAGGCGACAACTAGAACTTCATAGAACTTTACTCTTTATAAACTTCCTCTATATGGACACTGGGAACCTGGTTTGGAGTTTTAAGTATCACTTTTATTGGGGAAACATTCTGTAATTGTACCTGTTCTGGCACATTTTTACCCCAGTTGGTCCCTGTTAGAGATAATGTGTAGAATTCCTGTCATGTCATATATTGTATATTAATAGTTGGAAGAATTGTTTAAAAGCAGTGGTAACATAGCAAGGACTCTCTCTTAACCGCTTGAAGACCAGGTGTTAAGTGGGCATCGCTGCCTCTTTTCAAATAGCGGGGATTTCCCGCTCGCGCGCGCCGTAACAGGACGTGTATGCACAACGGCTGGCCGGGAGGTAGTTTAGAGTATGGTGAAGGAACAAGAAATATTCATCACTATTGCTATATTTGGACATTTTTGCAGAGTTATGAAGATTTAAAGACTTTTTACACCTGATTGATTTTTATTCACTGACGTTTGTTTGAGTCACGGATTTTTTTTATACTCTGATCATTGTTGTAGCTCGGCACATTTAGTTATTCATTTGTCACGTATACACACTCACAACGGGTGTACATTCCAGTGCCTTGTAGCTGTTAGCTTGCTTATTGGCGCAGTTCATTTTCTATTTAACTGTAATGTGTTCTTTCTTTATAAATGATATTTATTCATCTTTCTTAGTGTCGGTTTGTTTGATGTCTGCACACTCTGTGTCCTCAGTACAATACGTGTTTAGTAGACAGGGCCCTAGAGAATAGGATTACATGGCAGTACAAATTCCAGGCTCATTTGGTTAAGGAGAAGAAGATGGATGGAAAGTCCTTTTGTATGTAAGAAAATATCTCTCATTTCCATGAAGAGGAAGACTACAGATGGCTCAGGGATGGATGGATGGATCGTGTTCAGTGACGGCTGTGAAATCCAATCTGAGGGCTCATTTCATGTTTCCAGTGTGATCAGAACATGAAATAAATCAACATGACCAGAGAAGTTTTATCCCGACCGATATAAAGATTTATACAAATGATTATTATTATTATTATTCATATTTCAGAACACAAATCAGGGAACTTCCATTATTAGAGTTTTATATATGTTAGGGATGATCTTCAGGTGCAGGTGGACCATGAGTGCAACCCAATCCAAAGCAAGCTCCAGGAATAGTTGGGACCTCTCAGCAGCTATGAGTGTGAGTGATGGTCAGGTGTGAGTGATGGTCAGGTGTGA